CGAAGGCAGGTCTAGCCGTTACGAAGATACGGGGCAAAAAGTGCCAAAAACGGTATCTCCGTTTTTATGAGAACGGAGCGTCCGATTTGAATAAATCAAAAAACATTTTATTTCTATTAACAAGATGAAGAATCGATACAATTTTCATGAAGGTAGGTCAAGCGGTTTCGGAGATATAGAGGAAAAGTAAAAAAATGAGCCATTTGGCGGTCAAAAATGATCATTAGACATATGCACATCAAATTATCAGATATTTTATAGAGATTTTAACAATAAGTATACATTTTGTTAACATTCCTATGGGTTCCGTACCAATGCTTATGCGTTAGACAGCGACGTTTATATTTTGTCCTTATGCAGTTAAAGCAGTACGATTGCTTTGAAAAAAAGTTCAGATCTTCCACAATACGTCAAAATAAAGAAAAAAAATTTTTTAAATTTTTTTTTTTTTCAAAAAAAACTAATTTTTTGTCCAATTTATAGTTTCTCAAGAATCTTATTTTTCAAAGTAAATTTTTTCAAAAATGTTAATCGTTTTGAAAAATAATAATTTTTGGTACGGGAAGTTCTAGCAATTTGCCTTAAGGCATGATGCCCTAATTGCCTTAAGACAGAATTCCACTTACAGCTAGTTAGTACGGGAAGTTACAACAATTTGCCGTAAGGCACGTTGCCATGCTTCACTGGTTTCCTATGTGATGCATGGCACGTTCCTATGTGATGCATGGTGTTCGTTTCGACGTAACGATTCGCGACGACTGATTCGCGGCATGTAACGTAATCATTGTGAGCTCGTTTCGGCGCCAGGAATTCAGGCGTTGAGGCCAAAACGGTGATAAACGCGAGCGGCACAGTCGCTAAGGTTTCCAAATTAAATCCATGCAGTGAAAGTGCCCGCATGCGAAACGCACATGTGCTACGACGTCATTATTTCATACAGAGTGCAGATCTATAACTTTTTCACAGATCTTGAATTGACCAATAATATGTTTCAGTGATCGAAATTTTAGTGATATTGAAGGTTTTCGAGTACTGCGTACAAATAACAAATGGTTGAAACTTTTCTATTATAGAGTATATGAAATAGTTTCTGTGTACGGAGAAGTTAATTTAAAAGTGCATTTGGATCGGTGACTATTAAACTTTTCTAATTCTTTGTAATTAGAAATTAATTGATGTGATAGTTTTTATTTTTAGCGCGATTTAATCGTTTAATAAAATGCTTGGTATGTATTTATTTAGACTGAATTACTCAATTCTACTATTTTTATTTTGTAATAAAATAAAATGTATGTATCTGCTAGAAACCCATTTGCAGTACACGATGATTTATTATTGTCAATTTCCATATAATTAATCATTATTAATATTAAAGAAATCATTTAACGTGCGACACATTATTCACAATCCAAAATGTTTAATGTATATAACAAAGAAAATAAAGTTCAATTGACATTGAAGTAATAATCCTAATCTAGATTTAATTTTAACTAGCTGTAAGTGAATTCTGTCTTAAGGCAATTAGGGCATCGTGCCTTAAGGCAAATTGCTGGAACTTCCCGTACCAAATATTATTATTTTTAAAAACGATTAACATTTTTGAAAAAAATTTACTTCGAAAAAATAAGATTTTTGAGAAACTATAAAATGGACAAAAAATTACTTTTTTTTGAAAAAAAAAATTTTTTTTAAATTTTTTTAAAAAAAATTTTTTTTAATTTTTTTTTTTTTGAAAAAAAATGTTTTCTTTATTTTGACATATTTTGGAAGATCTGAACTTGTTTTTCAAAGCAATCGCACTGCTTTAATTGCATAGAGACAAAATATAAAGCGTTTAAGCGCGGCGTCGCTGTCTAACGGGTAAACATTGATACGGAACCCATAGGAAAATAAACAAAATTTATACTTATTGTTAAAATCTCTATAAATATCTGAAAATTTGATGTGCATATGTCTAATGATCATTTTTGACCGCCAAATAGCATTTTTTTTTTACTTTTCTGTTAGATCTCCGAAACCGCTAGACCTGCCTTCATGAAAATTTGATCAATTCTTTATCTTGTCAATACAAGTAAAATGTTTTTTGAATTATTAAAATCGGACGCTCCGTTCTCTTAAAAACTGAGTTACCGTTTCCGGCACTTTTTGCCCCGTATCTCCGAAACGGCTAGACCTGCCTTCGCCAAAAACTAATCAGCACGTCTCCTTATCAATACAAATCGAATGTTTTTTGAATTATTCAAATCGGTTGATCCGTGTTCCCGAAATCGTCGACGAAAATTTGTATCCGCACATACATACACACACGCACACACACACACACACACACACACACAACACACACACACACACACACACACACACATACATCCATTTTTTCTAAGGTATGCCAAAATGTTCAGAAACCTCTAAAACGTAAAGATATATAAAAATTTTCATTTTCGATTTTTTTGCGATTACTATAACTTACCCTACGGGAAGTTAATAATAATTCAATGACTTTTAATAAATGAATTAAGAATATTTTTCAATTAAATGTAAATGAATTAGTTTTTAACTTCCCGTAGGGTAAGTTATAGTAATCGCAAAAAAATCGAAAATGAAAATTTTTATATATCTTTACGTTTCAGAGGTTTCTGATCATTTTGGCATACCTTAGAAAAAATGGATGTATGTGTGTGTGTGTGTGTATGTATGTATGTATGTATGTATGTATGTATGTATGTATGTATGTATGTACGTGTGTGTATGTATGTGCGGATACAAATTTTCGTCGACGATTTCGGGAACACGGATCAACCGATTTGAATAATTCAAAAAACATTCGATTCGTATTGATAAGGAGACGTGCTGATTAGTTTTTGGCAAAGGCAGGTCTAGCCGTTCCAAAGATACGGGGCAAAAAGTGCCGAAAACGGTAACTCAGTTTTTAAGAGAACGGAGCGTCCGATTTGAATAATTCAAAAAACATTTTACTTGTATTGACAAGATAAAGAATTGATCAAATTTTCATGAAGGCAGGTCTAACGGTTTCGGAGATCAAATGAAAAAAGTAGAAAAAAATGCCATTTGGCGGTCAAAAATGATCATTAGACATATGCACATCAAATTATCAGATATTTTATAGAGATTTTAACAATAAGTATGAATTTGGTTTACAGTGCTATGGGTTCCGTACCAATGTTTACGCGTTAGGCAGCAACGCGGCGCTTACGCGCTTTGATATTTCGTCTTTATGCAGTTAAAGCAGTACGATTGCTTTGAAAAAAAGTTTAGATCTTCCAAAATATGTCACAATAAAGAAAATATTTTTTTTCCAAAAAAAAAAAAATAAAAAAAAATTTTTCTTAAAAAAAAAAATTTTCTTTAAAAAAAAATTTTTTTTTTTAAAAAAAAGTAATTTTTTGTCCAATTCATAGTTTCTCAAAAATCTTATTTTTTCGAAGTAAAATTTTTTCAAAATTGTTAATCGTTTTTTAAAAAAAAAATTTTTCGGTACGGGAAGTTCCAGCAATTTGCCTTAAGGCACGATGCCTTAATTGCCTTAAGACAGAATTCCACTTACAGCTAGTTAATTATTTCAAATAGTTTTTACGCGGACTAATCTGAAACAACGTGTCTGTTTTACTTATATATATATATATATATATATATATATATAGTCTTAAACAAATGCACATTCTGTCATCCAAAAATAGCAAGTATCGAAAATGTAAAAGCGTCTGCTCCTTTATGAATAAGTATGTGACATTGACCTGATATTAGTCAGAATACGTTTAGTGTGGATTTTAGTAAATCCTGATGTTTAGAATACCAGACCAACGGGTTGTGTAAGGCGCTATGCTAAATAATATAATTTCACATGAGCCTATTTTTTCGTGTTTTCCTAAATTTTATGATTTTTTTTTATTACACTTATTGCATTTATTTTGATTAAATATTCATGTAATTGTCATTCAAGTATTATGTATTCATTTCTGCAATAAAACTTTTAGAATATTTTATGCACTAGATAAAATTTTCTTGTGCTCTTGTGTATAATGAATTGAATATACATATATATATTTAAATGTTGTCAAGTTATATCGTTTGACTTATTTGATATTACAATTTAATCATTTTATTATGTGCAGTTTTATTTATTTTATGATTTTACAGTTAAAGTTTATACACTTTTGTAAATTTCACAAAAAATTACTTTTTCAAAGAAAAATATCGCATTAAGTTAATGATAAATTCAATTACTCTTTTATGTCGCAATTATTTATTTGCCATCTATTAGTTGCTCTTTTATTTGATTTTCACGCAAACACCTTCAATTTCCGTTTGAAATAATAATTAGAATTATAGAAAGTTATAACTTTTAATTAACTAACAATTATGTTATAACTATGAAATTGAATATTGCAAATTGAAATTCTTTATGAATCTATATATTTTTAATTAAATAAAATCGTATATTTTATCCACAGATAATATTTTCAATAGCTAAACTGATGCGTAGTGCACACTATATCTAATAATTTCTGTATTCCATATTCTAATAATATTGTTATTGAAAATTGCAAATTGAAATTCTTTATGAATATATATATTTTTAATTAAATGAAATCGTATATTTTATCCACAGATAATATTTTCAATAGCTAAACTGATACGTAGTGCACATTATATCTAATAATTTCTGTTCATAAAGAAATTTTTTTATTGATTTATTTATTTAGGCGAGCGGAATCAATATGGATAATTTCAAATTTGTGTATGGTTTATTCAAAATAAATCACCACGGTCTAAATAGAAATTAGTTTTAATGTAAATATAAGATCTAAAATATTTCAAATTGGCTGGATACCACATATTTAAAAAATAATTTTTGAGTAATGACATATAAAAATATTTTACGAATACGCGTACTAGTAAGCATATCGCCACAACAAAGTAAAATTAAATAATATATTAATTATAAAGTGTAAACTAACCAAATATTATACGAACGAACTATGTTCTTAACTGGAAAATTGGCAAATGGATTGCAGATATGTACATATAAACATATATGCATTAATTGATATAAAATTAGCTCGTTATATTTCAAAATAGCTGACACGTCTCATTACGTTGATCATTAATTTTTTTGTTATTTCGCTGGTTCAGCGAGTTACGGCCTTCCGGCTGATGCAGCAGATCCTCCAGACACGCTTAGGCACTACCTGGAGGAATTACTGCGTGCTATGCTCCGAGTGTGGGTGCGACAAGGCCAGGCAGCTGCCTTACTTACAGATCGCAAAAGCGGTACATCGATTTTTGTGACATGTTTGAGATTTAAAATTATACTAATTTCACATTTTCTTTCGATTTCCGCTTGCCACTAAACACGTTGCCAAACCAAGAATTAACTATCCTGCTAAACGCATTCTTTTTTAACAATCAATAAACATATGCAACGAAACAGCTTTTGCGAAATTGGTATATGTACAAAAATGTTCCGAAGGATTACATGATATTAGTAAAACCTCAAATATCAGTGTGTTTTGAACTGCCTGATCATTATTAATATATATAAATCTCATTGTAATGCGTTACAATAACTGTGTATAACTAATTAAAAAATGGCAATTACTAATTTCCTGAGAGAAAAATTTGTTTTCCTCATCCGACAGTTAACTTTATGAACTTCCATACAACTTATCTTAAGGCAAAATGCTACTTATGCCTAGTTTGAAGATTAAATGACAAAAAATCACGAAGTGTCACGTGGGGGAGGGAGGGGTATAGTAAGATATCACGTGTATTTATTTTTTAACTGTTTTTTTTTTTAAATCAAACATTTTCAAAAAAAAATTACTTCATTCAAAAATTTTATAGTTTTTTAACATAACTAAAAAAACACGTGATGTTTGGTGGGGGAGGGGGGGGGTAATTTTGAATATCGCCATGTATCACCAAGGGGGAGGGGTGGTCCAGAAATCCTTAAAAACTCGCTCACGTGATTAATGGACGCCTCCTTGGTAATTAAATTAACATAAATTGATTGTGATCATCATTATTTTGACGTATCCTAACAGATAATTACTGCTGTAAAACAGCTATGATGCAACTTAAAAAAATCATTAAATTTCAGAAATTTTGCATTACGTAGGTCGTAATATGTATGGCAACGCAATTACGCATTGATATAACATTGCTTGTGTTATTTAAAAAAAAAACAGTCGAGTTATACTATGCAAAATATTTAAATATTAAACTTTAATTATAGTAAATTTGACTTAAATAGTGTGATCGCCAGAAATTGTAAAATACTGAAATAGACTAAAAAATTCTTCTGAAATTTCCTGAAGTATAATTATCATTTTACAGTAATTTTTGTAAGGTAGACAATAGTCACTTTGCAATTTTCGGGAAACAATTTAGAAATTGGTCCTATTGTAATTACATATCACTTACAGAAACAGATAAAACGGTAATTGTCCGACGTGAAGGCGGTGAATTTGGCTTCAGAATACATGGTTCGAAGCCTGTGGTGGTCTCAGCTATTGAGCCTGATACGCCTGCTGAATCCTGCGGCCTTGAGGTCGGTGATATTGTCCTCAGCGTCAATGGCGTCCCAGTGCTGGATAAAACGCATTCCGAGGTTGTGCGTTTGGCGCACGCAGGCAGCGATGTCCTCGAACTAGAGGTTAGTTAATCGAAGCACTTAACAATATATTATATATTCCCGAAGGAGTAGGTCAACGTGTTACGTAGAGCAGAAAAAATATGTGTAACAATTATTAATCGTCCCAGTTCAAAATAGGCTAGCAGTCGAATGTGTAACAATACGTAATGCGTATTTTTAAGTGATCTTGATATTTATACTTTGTAGATGTTTATTTTTCACGGACTTTTAAAACTGTAGATAACTTAAACGATTGCGCAAATGATTAAAAATAACACACGAATAAATATTTTGCAAGATTATGAGATATTTATGCATTTATTTTATATAATTTTTTTATGTTGGAAATAAAGTTATTTAATCATTAAGCAATTTTTACAGTAACATTTTTTGGGCTGTAGTTAATGTGAATGTTAAATGGCATTGAACCACAATAGGAATTGAGCAATCGTATGTTTAATAATAACAAATTATTTTAAGTACATATCTTTCTATAAATGAATTTTATTACAATTTGGATTGTTGTCCATTAATATTTTTTAATAATAAATTTGTATTTTGTGTTTATCAACATCTTATATTTATTGATATTTCTAGTTGTTTCGTTTTCTTTATAAAATGATATCGCGTATTCTATGCAATATTCTGTTCATATTTTATTTGCTTGATTACTAGAATATTGGTTTTAACAATTTACTGTAAAATTTTTATTTCTTGTGTAAATTTTACTTGATGAGTGAGAGTTTCCTTTTTATGAAAGCATATTACTGCGGCATGGAATGTTCATATTCTGTATAATTAGTATAGTTAACCACTTAGATGCTCTTTGGTTTTTACATATATAGTTATAATATATTATTTGTTGAAATGAATATAATAAATAAATGAATATATAAATGAGTATATGAAATAAAAATGTGTGGGCGGAAAGCTCTAAATTATTACACTAACTTGTTCAGATTTACGTAGAAACAATTATTACCTATTGTAATAACCACATTACTATTGTAATACCTAAATAATATCACATGATTCTGAAACCTGAATAAGCTTATTAAAGAAAAAGATTAGCTATCACTTTATTCGCTTTCTCCGCAATAAAATGCGAGTATATCTTCTTTATGTGGCTTATAATTAAATTGTGCAAAGTGCAAAGTTTATTTTTTCATAATAACAATCTAACTAACAAATATAAGTGCCGGAGCAAATACGTATGAGCATCTTAAAACAATTAAATGTAAATGTATATAGGTATATATCACTCTACCATTACAGATGTATTTGTATTATTAGTTTTAGTTTATTCACGAATTGATAGAGTGTATCCTATTTTAATGTATTCCGATCTTAAATTTATTTAGAAAAAATGTATTAAAGCAAAACGTATTACTCTTGGACACGATAGGTAGCACGAACTATAACCGCTTTATCTGCCGGTCTGAGCGATGCTGGAAGCGCGCCTGCACTTTACTCTGGATATCTTTGGCGTCAGGTTGGTCAGCCAAGTGAAAATTCTTCTACGCCTGCAAAATGGGTTAGGCGTTGGTTTTGCCTGAAGCCCGATCACTGCCTTTATTATTATAAAACTGATCAGGTAAAATATTTAATTATATAAAGAAATGTGATTATCAGTATGAATAAATATAAACTATTTTATATAGAATCAATATTAAACGTTGTGCGCATGAAGTTATATAATAAGTAGATCATCAAATAGAATAAACTATTGATGAATTATATTGTTCCTTAAAGAAAGTTGCTGAAACTTGCATTCATTAAACGAATATATGTACCTACTGAGTATGAACTATAACAAAGAGAAAAGGGGTAAAAATGTCGTTATTTAACTATGAACCTGCCTAATTCAACTATTTATCATGCAAATAAACGACATTGTACGAGTCGTTGTGTGTTGTGCTTCGTCAAAAACTTTTAAAAATTCATTTACAAGATTATAAAAATTTTAAAATTGCTAAAAATTTTAATATATATATATATATATATATTAAATAATAATTTTACAAACGTTTCGAGACTAGGTTTGTCTCATCATCAGTGTATTGAAATTTAAAATCTAAAATATGGAAATCTAAATTAGCATTATGTGTTATCCGTTACAAGTCGTTCAATAAACTGCCTGCTACATCAACGATCGTCGGAGTCCGAATTCTCTATATTTATGTACATATATTTTTAATTATATTAATTTAAAACAATTTTTATGAACGAACCGTCTCCTTTCATATATTTTTTCCTAGCTATTTTTCAACTGTGCCCTATTCCTTCCTTTCCTATTTGATATTGCGTGACTGACCACATGACCTCGAATAGATAATTCGGACTCCGACGATCGTTGGTGAAGTAGTAGTCTATTTTAATAGACTGATGATGAGATAATTCTAGTCTCGAAACGTTTGTAAAATTATTATTTAAAGAATTAGTGCAAAAAAGAGTGTTGTTTGTTCATATTTCCAAATTAATATCCATATATCCACTCAGAATATATTTGTTTAATATATTAATGGTTTTCTATTCGATGGTAGGTTCATGGTGTAAGACCATTTTTTCCTTCACTATTTTATTAGCATTTTACACTTTTACGCATTTTTCTTTCTAAACTTCTGCTTTCTGATCTTGTATTTTCTCTTCCCGCGTAAGTGATCAATCATTTGCATTCTTCTTCCCACCAGTCTTTTCCTTCCTATTATTTCACCTTCGACCACAACGTATGAAAGACACTATTTGCAGAATGGGTTCGATCTAGTGTACTTTCCTTTTAATAATTATACTCTGTGCTCAGAACATTTTTTTCTTTGCCCACTCTTCTCAGCACTTTTTCAGTTGTTATCTGTCCACTTTATCTTCTTCATTCGCTTCCAAAAATCGGACAGCTTCAATTAATAATCTTTCTTTGTTGTGATTACAAACAATTTACTGGCTTAATTAATGGCCACCCTTGAGATTACCGACACTTTTTTTTATTAAAAATTGTATCAATAGACAGCAAAAGTTATATCTAATATAATATTAAATACGTAAAACTTGATTTTATTTATACTGCTTTTTTGTCTTGTTAGCAAGGAGTTTGCAATCATTAACTTTTTTCTGAAAGTAGCATCGCAAAAAATCGCCAAAAATGTTATTAACTTTATAGACATGATTCTGATATTTTTTGTCAGTTTTTAAAATTTGCTCAGTATCAAATAATAATGTACGCGGCACGGGTTATATTAGTGGTGTCAACATAAATAATCGCACTGGCAACTTTAGATTTGTTTTATAATTTGGTAGGATACGCAGCCAGTTGGCGCATTACTTCTGGCGCGCCATAAAGTTGAGTCCGGACCAAGTGACGTAACTCAAGCCTATGCTTTCCGCATATCTTCAGAAGAAGCACCTCCACTGCAACTCGCTGCGGATTCAGAAGAAGCTGCCGCAAGGTCCGATACTATGATTTTTGCGATAAAATTTGTGTATATTGTTTAATATTATTGATTTGATTTTCCAAATATATTGTAACATTGCAAGAAAAATTTAAAAAATAATAAATCCGATTCATAATTTAATCACTGAATAAAATCAAACTTTTATATATGGCAAGATGGATCGCTGTAATATCGCATGCAGCTGAGCAAACAGATCCGTGGTTGGAGACGTCACGCAGAAGTTTGCGGGCTCCAGCAGCTTGTATTTCTCGTCCTGATTGTTTCGGATATCTAATGAAATTAGGAGGAAAGTGGAGGTCGTGGAGCAAGCGATACTGCGTTCTCAAAGATGCATGTCTTTATTTCTATCAAGATGGCAGCAGTAAAACGGCATTTGGTAATTGGATCTAAAGTATTTAGCTCTATTAATAAATGTAAGAGTAATGACAATAGTAGCTTTGAATACAATTTTGGGATTTCTATGCATTTTATATACTATAAACAACACAAACAAACGAACGATTTGAAATATTATTTTCAAATCTTCGTGTATAAATGCGATTGTAGTTTGCTTTGTCATCAATACTACATTTACACAATATTATATTTATGAAATAGTGTGTATGTAATGTAACTTTTAATACTTTACTATATATATATATATATATATATATATATATATATATATATATATATATATTCAATTATTTGTAGGAATGGCATGTCTTCAGGGATATAAAGTACAACCGTCAACAGTTGGGGGTAAAAAACATGCATTTGAATTAGCACCGCCTGAATCTAGACAAAGGCATTATTATTTTCATACAGAATCAGAAATGGATAGAAAACGGTACTGAGTGAAAAGTGATTAAATATTTTAGATAATAGTAAAATTATGTTTAAAATATTCAAAATTTTATAGCTGGGTGGCTGCTTTAGAGTATTCCATAGATCGTTGGATGAAAGCTGGATGAATATAAAAGTAAATTACATTCCCGGTAAGGTTTGGTTTTCGATCAACTTGGAAGATAAATATTTCTAACAGCACATTAAGGATATTGAATAAATACGAACACTTATGAAACAAAATATTGATAACTTATTTATAATAAAAAGTTATAATGTAAATAGCTTAAAGACTTTTATTGATTTAATCAAAAATACGATTCTGTATTTCTGATATCTATTTATTAAGATGGAAAATAGCGCACATATCTTTCGTGATTGATTGTTGTTGAGCTGTATTAGATGCATCGATTGAAATATTCCATTCAGCATTGCAATATATAACTTATTTGTTGAATTTCAGTAATTATACTGTGGCAACCAGACAACATATATCACAGCATATGACACATAACAAACAAACAACTATCGAAATATGTTCAGAAAATTTCCTAGTTATTGCCTAAATAGAGAAATACGTTTATTTCTATATTTAGACAGAAAGCAAAGACATACAATGTCTTATTTTCAATTTTAAGAGGATTTAACGAAATAACAACTACTTTATTTAACTAAGACCAAATACAAATTTTATGGACACAAAGTCTTTACTAAAATATACATTGGAAGAGTTGGAACAACAATAATCTAATTTATCACTTGTAAAAGTTTTTTTTTAACTAAATATACTTTTTTAATTACTAATATATTATTATTTACACTTTGACAGTGTAAAGTTGAATTGAGTTGTTAGTTGTTTCTGTTTACCCCACGTGTAAGCTTTTATAGTGCTTTATAAAGAACAAAACTGTTGAATCTAATTTAAAAATAACAACGTATATTTACTTATAAATTATATTTGAGTATTGTAAATTAAATTGGGCCAGTCCTTTATGAACCTATTTTTTATGTAACATTGAGTCAAAAACATTCACTGGCAAAAACCCAGATATAAAATGATGTAATTACTATGATTTTTACGAAACAGAGGTTTGCGGTGAAGTGGTTAAATTTAGTGTTATAAGTATTTTTTTAAATACACATGAAAAATTAAATTGAAATTGGTCCAAACAATTGGTCTTCGGTATGGTTAGCCCTTACCACTTGATTTCACATTATACATATAATAGATAAAATGGTATGGTAAATATAAATGCTCCGAGATAGTTTTTAAGTTCTATTTAAAAATTGCATATTTATGATAAATGTTTAGTTTTTTGTATCACTAATTTTACTTTGTCTATTTTGTTTCCATTTCATATATTCAATATATTCAGAATTATCGGAAAATTAACTCAAGTGGTAAAATTATGTGCTAAAGCATAGATAAGACTATGTGCTAAAAACACGTGACAGATGCATGATGCATAGATAAGTAAACATATGTGATGATGATGATGATGCATGCATAGATCGATAAACACATGGATAAATAAACATAAACGTGCCTTATTAGAACTAAGACTACAATTAAGGTAACTGCAGTAACGACCAACAACATAATAAATATAAATAAATAAATTTATCTATGCTTAGACTAATAGATCGAAAAAAAGTATAATCCATAATCTATGCTTAGACTAGACGTAAATAGTTATAGTTTACCAACATTAAATATGATTAACAACTGTCAAATGATGACAGTTAACGCCACTGTTTTAAACATTGGTAGCCATGTATGACGGTTAATTTTACCGCCATTCATGCATATAAGCTCAAGAAATTTGGTGCACGTTCGTTAGTCGTTCTCTGAATTCCATTGCATTCAGTTTTAAGTCAGCAAGCATTCTACTTCTCGTCAGCCGTCAAAATGGTAAGTATTTTGATTGTAGGTACATTTTTCATAGTTATTGCATGATTATTTTTTTTTTATTGTTATTATTACTATTTTGCAGAGGGAATGCATTTCAATACATGTTGGACAAGCAGGTGTGCAGATGGGAAATTCTTGTTGGGAGTTGTACTGTTTGGAACATGATATTCAGCCCGATGGGCAAATGCCCGCGGATAAAACTGGGGTCGAAAATTCATTTGGCACATTTTTCAGCGAAACTGGTTCTGGGAAATACGTTCCGCGAGCTATTTTTGTGGATTTGGAGCCATCAGTTATAGGTGAATGATATTTGTTATGATGTAATTTAAGTTATAGTATTTCTGTTATAAACTCAAAATGTTTGCAGATGAAGTTCGTACAGGAACTTACAAGCAGCTGTATCACCCAGAACAGCTTCTCACTGGCAAAGAAGATGCAGCTAATAACTATGCTCGAGGTCATTATACTGTTGGGAAAGAAATGGCAGACGCAGTATTAGATAGGATAAGAAAATTAGCAGATCAATGTAGTGGTTTACAAGGTTTTCTTATATTCCATTCATTTGGTGGAGGTACGGGATCTGGATTTACTTCATTGCTCATGGAACGTTTGTCTGTTGATTACGGGAAGAAATCAAAATTACAGTTTGCTATATATCCTGCTCCTCAAGTATCGACATCAGTTGTTGAGCCATATAATTCAATATTAACAACACATACAACTTTGGATCATTCGGATTGTGCCTTCATGGTCGACAACGAAGCCATTTATGACATTTGTAAGCGCAACCTAGGCATACCAAGACCTAATTATTCAAACTTAAATCGCATGGTTAGCCAAGTAGTGTCATCAATAACAACCTCTTTGAGATTTTCTGGAGCTATAAATGTGGATTTGAATGAATTCCAAACCAATCTTGTGCCCTATCCAAGGATACATTTTCCATTAGTAACATATGCGCCTATTCTTTCTGCAGAAAGAGCATATCATGAACAAATATCAGTAGCAGAAATTACTAGTGCTTGCTTTGAACCAGCTAATCAAATGGTGAAATGTGACCCTCGTCATGGAAAGTACATGGCTTGCTGCATGTTATATCGAGGAGATATTGTACCAAAGGATGTTAATACAGCAATTGCTACTATCAAGAGTAAAAAAAATATTAATTTTGTGGATTGGTGTCCGACAGGCTTCAAAGTTGGAATCAACTGCCAACCTCCCACTTTAGTGCCAGGTGCAAATTTGGCAAAAGTACAACGAGCAGTTTGCATGTTATCTAACACAACAGCAATTGCAGAAGCTTGGTCAAGGCTCAATCATAAATTTGATTTGATGTATGCTAAACGAGCATTTGTACATTGGTATGTTGGAGAAGGTATGGAAGAAGGAGAGTTTTCTGAAGCACGTGAAGATTTAGCTGCACTTGAAAAGGATTACGAAGAGGTGGCTGCAGACTCTGCCGAATGTGAACAGTCAGCAGATGAAGAATACTAACGCAATTGCCTTATTATGTTTGATTTTCCTGTGATATTTACCTTACCTTTTATATTTATGTAATTTTTGAATTTACGTGTCATGCTATTTAATAAATTGATTTTTATACTGACATTTTGTATTCTAAATGCGAAACAAACTTTTATTTTTAATTTATTCAGAATATTTAGTTAGTTGTGACATACTATTTATAGGTTGTATTAGATTGTTTCATTTAAAGCATATCAATTATGAAATATAATGCATTGAATACATAACAAACTGTGAATTTCAGTAATATTTTGCTTAACACCAATTTGATGTACTACAGTAAACAAAACTTCAAAACTTAATCAATTAGAGTATATATATTTGAGAACTCAAAAATGCCAGAATTAAAAATCATTAAATGGTCCGAGTGGTCCTTGTATCCGAATTTTTCGCAAAAAGTATTCAACAGTTGACATAATTGGACATAATGTTCTATAATATTTTGGTCATAAAGCCAAAATCGTGTGTAGATCGTAGAATAGATCGTCACAGCAAGATAGCGTGTGGTGGCCTCAATGAACAATTCATGACATGACATATGCTTTTCTGAAAGAAGTTTTTGCTCGAAAAACCTTATGCGTTAATAGATGGCGCCACCTTTCA